GGAGAGAGGGAGGTCTGGGTCTCTGCTGAGGCTGCTGCCCCCGAGACCTGACCCTGGATAAGAGGAAGAAAACTGACGGACGATTTTTTCTTTAACGATTTCAATTCATCAAAATATAAAAGAAACTAAACTTCCTGTTAAGCTCTTATTTTGAAAGTCTGACGTTTAAATGTAAATTAGCAGGAAACATTCAGGTGGGTCAGATGTCCTATAGGTCTCAGCTGGACCAGYTGGATCAGATATCCCAGCAGGATCTGTCTCTGAGTTCTGTCCACCTCCAGCAGCTGCAGCAGATGTTCTGACCCACCTGAGGTTTTCTGGTGTGGGGGTCCGGTTCTTACTGTTCAGGGCGGACAGGAAGATCCTGAAGAAGCGCTGCACATAGTCCTGATCGTCGGACTTCAGCCGTCTGACGTGGACCAGGTGCTGCTGGACCGGCAGACTGGCCAGCTCCTCCACCTGCGTCCGGTTGTAGCGATGTCCGACCGTCACCACAAACAGAACCGTGCCGTCACACCTGGCCTTCTGGGACATGTAGCGCAGCCTGACCCGGTCCGTGTAGGCGGTCTCAGTACCCACCACGGTGAACACGACCCTCCTCCTGCGGGACTGGGACACCTTGTTCAGAACCTCCTGCAGGGTGTAGTTAAGGGTCTGTCCCAGCGCAGAGTAGCCTCCCCGCTGCTGCATGTTCCGGACCAGGTAGTCCTTTATCTGGGTCCGGTCCCGGTAGGTCTGCAGGTCGAACTCCAGCTTGTTCTGTTGGACCACGGCCACTCGGGCCTCGGTTCCGGCCTGGCGGGGCTGAGAACTCACAGCCAGCTGCTCCACCACAGAACCCAGCAGCTGCTGAGCGCCAATAAACTCATCTGCCTGCATCTCCCTGGATCCGTCCAGAACCATGACCAGGTCCATGTCTATTTTCTGAGGCGGCACTGGGTCCTGGATGAAGGAGCAGTCCTCGGAGCGCCGGCACGGGTCTGTGGAAGGTCCACAGAAACAACAGAGGGTTTTAGGATGTGATCGTTAACCCTAAAGAACTCCAGACCCGGTTCTTGTGTCTGGTTTCTTTACAGTGTTCCAGACCTTTATTTTGGTACCGTGGTTCTGGATCAACAGATCAACAAAGGGAACAAGAACCGGATCAGGACTTCAGATTAAAACCAGTTTCTTACCGTAGCAGACAGCACAGTTCTTGACCTTCCTCAATTCTGCTGCCAGGTCCCTGGGCCGGGTCAGAACCGTGAAGATGGACCTACCAGAGTCATCGAGCTGCGAGGACATAGCAGCAAGAAGAACTCTGAGGTCCAGAACTTACAAAGACCCCAGATCAGGTTTTACTGTCACCACACAGTGTCTTTGGACATGTCCACGTGTCCACGTTTATACTGTATGTCCACATTTAACATGTCCACGTTTATACAGTATGTCCACATTTAACATGTCCACGTTTATACAGTATGTCCACATTTAACATGTCCACGTTTATACAGTATGTCCA